CAAACAATCTTAATGTATCAGATTAAAACAAAAAATCAGTAACAGCACTTGCTGATTTGTTGCATTCTCAAAAAAGTGGGGTAATATGAAGTCCGTGGCGTGGCCCGTACAAACGATCACGTTATTTTTTTTTTTGTGTGTGTATGTCCAAGCAAAACTTATTTAATAAAAAAAATGAAGACATTTGTCTTGGTTAACGACATTCTCTTGTTGATGTTCAACTAACAACGCTTTGTTTACTTTTTGTGTAACCAAATATCCTACTTTTTTTCATTAACCCTTATAAGGAAATACAATTTACAGTGTTTAATTGTACCGGTGGCGCTGCAGCTAATAGAGGCGCCAAAGAATGATGGTATTAAGTATCCATCAGATTGTCAAATAGGAAGCCGGCGTGGGCAGGATCGGGGTTCTTATAATTGCAAAAACAGTGCATAACTTTCTATGCTATCAATCTAGCTCACATCCATGTGACTTTAGCTCACAGGATAGAAAAAAAGTATGATGTCCCTTAACTCCACCAGAGCTGCGATGTCCACTGACTTTCCCAATGTTATAATCTGCATAGAATCGCCCAATTATAGGATGTCCCTAGCGGGATGTTAGAAAGTAATAAGAAACACTTCCGAAGTTAGGAGGTCTATAGAACTTTGGCGCGTTATGCAATGGACGTCCTAGTTACCATTGACGGCAATCCAAGCTTGAATAAACAGAACGTCGACTGTAAACATAAACCCACCCTGTACCATAGAATTGATCCACAGGCAATAGTACGGAAGTAGCCAGTTCGTAGATCGCCAAGTTCAATTGCTGTAGGGGTGCTGACATCCTTACTTTTTCATCCAATACATTTTGATTTTAGGATACCCAGACAGAGAAATACTCTATTTTTCGTAGCACGAGTAATGGTGGCTCTTCGTCATTACTTCTGTCCTCTGCAGGAAGGGGGTCATCTTCAGCAAAGACCAACCTAGCGTCGTATCCAATGGTGTCATCATCACCGTCTGAAAACTCGATGTCAGACGTTTGGCTTTGCGCAATTATATCAAGTATTTTGTCATCATCGCTTCGCTGATGCGTTATCTATTGTCTAAACCGATCCCCGCAAAAATATCATCCCGCGTGCAAGACTCTAAAATAATGCACCCTTTTTCACCACACACCTGAGCAACCGAATGTTACATCGCGCAAGAAAACTGGGCATTCATTAACTTGCCCAAGTTTATTGGACATCGCAATTTCAAAGGAATCATACCAAAACAAAAACAACTGAAGACTGTTCCTTCAGTTAGACGTGGTACACGTCTAGTTGAAAAGACTATATACTTTTAGGTAATATTCAAACGGAAAAAGTATAAAAACCAAGAGCGAATTGACGAAAAAATACTTGTGCGTCCGCCGCCGTAGAACGCACTTAAAGTGAACGCCACCGTTTAGAATGTCATTACCACTCCCGCCGAACGACTGATATTTCCTCCACTTCACAGACGGTGCCACTCGATGTCCAAAACATTGGATTTCGGTTTTCAATGACGACAACATTGATAATGTTTCTGTAGGCGCTTAGATTTTCGTCCAATATAATGAACAAAGTTTCAATTGCTAGTCCCCATTCTATGGGAGGTTTCTAATTCGCTTCGCAAGACTTTCCGTCGGAAGTACATTTCCTCAACCAGCGCGCGGAAATGATTTTTTGATGTTTCCACTAGATCCGGACTTTTTTTTTATTTTTCGTTTTATAATGCAATACATGCATAATGCATGTGCTAATAAAAAATTGTTGCTAATCGGAATAAAGACACGTCCACAAGATTTTTCAGTTAATGTGCAGCAAGCATTAAAAGTAAAGTGCGCCCTAAACTGAATCACACGTGAATGCTTGTTATTAGCGACCGTCATCTAAACGAGTCAGTGGTGTTATTGGCGTCTCTAGGTAGGATAAATAAATACTCTCGTCTCTCGGAACACGTTTCATTACGAGATTAGTTGGTCGTACTCGGAGCCCTGCGCCTATTCTCGAGTATTTAAACATAGACTTTTTCAATGTGCCATGCAAATAAAATTTTAGACTAGCCTAATAAATCTAAGGCATGCATACACTGAAAACGTGTAATATTACCATGAAACTGACATTTGCATAATCCAACTATCGTTTCGCTTTTGTGTGTAATATAGTGTGCACAACCTTTCGTAAAAGTACTGAGAAGCTCTCCTCCGTCCACAGCCAGCGTAAATAAGTAGGGAAACAATATTTATATCTAGAGATTATTTGTCGATTTTGGCATTATCATTGACAATACATGACATTAAACATTTCAGCCAAAGTGTGGCTTAGTAAAATCAAGGTCTTACGTTCTCCGTGTTGTCTGGTATAGCTGCAGTCACCTCTCTTCGATGTTAGGCCTGCTAATATGAAGGCCTTGCTATATAGCGGATAATTTACGGGTCTAGTTTGTCCTTACACAATAATATCCCAATAAACCATCAGAGCACAACATACACAAGTAGCGTTTGAAACAGCAGGGTAATTACATGAATCTTAGTCTCGCTAATCTACTGAAAAGAAAATACAAAATAATTCAACAAAATAAAAATGCATTTAAAGTTACAGGAAGATCAGTGAATGCGTTGGTATGAGCCTCGGAAACGCTACACAGGACACCCCTTTGGAAAAAGCTAACGCCGACCCCTTCACTTTTTCCTTTCTTTTTTCAAGCCTTCTCTTCCGTTTCTTTTATTTTTTTGCGGCCTCTTTTCGGCCTCGTTCCGGGGTCGGCGTTAGCGTTTCCCAAAGAGGGACATGTGTGAATTTTCTCATTCCCACGCATTCTAATAAAATTCACAAATATCTTCTTGTAATTTGTTTTAACTCTTTCCTGTACTCTCGCTTTCAAAGTGCGTCGGCGACCTTAGATAGGGTCGCCCATATCTCCACGGAAAGAACCACATTCATAGCGGTCGTGGAAGAAACCGCATCCTTATCACGCGGGCAGAAACCGGATCCATAGTTCTAACTGCCCACAAGCGTCACAGCCCGACGCCGACACCCAGAGCGAAGAACTACCGGCGACGGCAGAGCGGCAGCTGAGCACGCCCGCATTCTACCGCGCCGCGACGCAACACCTCCTAGATAACAGCCGTAGTGCTGAATGACATGACGTCATCAGATAAGGCTAACGCTAGGCACAGACTGGACACGCCGATTGCGTGATCGTTGTGCCGAAACTTGACTATAGTCGGATGCAACCTAAGAACAATCTTTAAGCTCCACCCACAAGCGCATTGCGCCCATCTGAAGTGCGTCCGCCGTCGAGAAAGTAGTTCGCTAGCAACGTTGCTTTTTCTTACTCCAGGAAACGTTTCTTAAACTACTACAATATTTATTTAATTCATTCAGGACATTTAAATAATTTAGAATACGTTTTTGTCAACGAAATAGCTGTCTAGTAAAGAAAGAAAGTAATGTCCAATGTACCGTCTTCCCAATTCATTTTCTGTCCAAGATACTGTCTAACATACCGTCTAACATACCTCTCAGCAGTGCTAAGCCTCGCGCCCGCTTCGAAATTTTCGTTGGCGATAGCGTCGCTGGATTCTCACGTTGTCGCGCAAAAACTGCTGCAAACGCAAGCCGATACCATTAAGATTTCGTGGCGTAACCTCGGGCACGTAAAACACGGTGCAAAAAAGCTGAATAATTGTCACGAGAAACTAGCGTCGCGTTGCTAATACGAGCAGCCATGTTGGGCTTTTCTTTTTTTTTTTTCAAAAAGATCGCGATTGGTCCACGGAATCGTGACGTCATGAAAACGATTGGCTGGCGTTTCTCGGCGTAGGATTACATTTTCCTTTGAGAGGCATTTCCGGTTTTTTCTTAGCTTGCAACCGACTATAGAAACCAAGCGGTAACGCACACTTGTTTGCAATTTGTGTCTTGCGTTGACTTAGTCTGATGGTGCCGTCTCATTCAGCCCTGACGCTTTGTTTCATAGGATATGTTGCGCGGAGCCTTCTCCTCTCTGGCTTCTCGCCAGCTCTTCGCGTATATTTGACGAAAACGAAAGAGCTCGTTTTGGCGATAACCCGGTGCTGTCTGACAATTTGTCAGCGCCGGGGAGAGATGGAGAGGTTGACTCGTGCTGACATTAGCCCTTCCGACCAATGGGAGCGTCGCAAGCTTCACCCTCTTCCCCTTTTTTTCTATCTCCCCGATGTTGACAAACGAAAGGCACCGGTGGGTTTTCGTCAAAAAGAGCTTTTTAATGCTAACGCATTAAAAACAAAAGCCACATACAAACACGAATATAACTTTCTCATTGTGCGTTGTTCATTGCCTGTTTAAAAAAAAAAAATATTAGTGCTAAGGCTGGCGAACCAAAAAATACCTTAGTGCTTTTAGAATTTGAGGCTAAATGACTCACTTTTTTAATTTACTTCGTCATAATCATGCAAGTTGCGCATGACCTTAAAATAAATGCTCCACCTTTCATCTGATGTGCGTATTCCTTCTGGATAAAATGCAAAGAATGAAAGAGCCTTAGTCAATGGGTCTGTGATTCAGAAATGTAGAGCTCAGTGCTTTCAAAATCAAGAGCAATTTTCCTGAATAGGAAGTAAAGAATGTGTCTTGCATGTAATATTATACTTCTCTCTTAGCAGTGTACAAATTTACTGACTAAACATTTATTATAAAGAATATTAAGTGGTAGACTTCTAATAGATAAATTACTTGTGAAATTGAATTGCAAATTTTTTTCAATATATGGCAACCAAAGAATGATTTTTTTTATGATACGCTAATTTATACCCCAAGGGTTTCACATCTTTTAATATATAGCCCCATAGAAGTAAATTCGAATATCATAATGCGGAACAATTAAATACGGTATGAGAAGCAAGTACGAAGGTCGGGTTTGTCAAGACTTTCCCTCTGTGCTAAGTTTGAATACCTCTTATACTTGAACATTAAACTTTACAAAAATATATGTTTTATTTTCTAGAGGTGCGTAAGAGGCACGTGCGGCTACTACGACAAATACGGCGCACCGGTGACCCGACCGCAAGATGCTTGAACATAAATATACAAACGCTACCAGAAATGTCTCTTCAAATCCCATAAAAGACCAGGTCCGTAGAAAACTCAAGTCTCAAGTTTAACGATTTCTCTCCAACGCAGAATAAAAAAATCAACTAAACTGCAGCTACTTAAAACCTAAAGAGAATACATTAACAAGAGCAACTAAGCGACTTTGTGAATATAGTAAATAAATTTAGTATTCATTTGAAATGTGTACATGTTTCAACTTTTTTTTAGTACAAGCAATATATGAAACACAAGTGTTTGACGCTCGCGTCTCAAGAATAGGACAGTAGTCAGTAGCAAAATTCAGATGAAATAAAACATCAGTTGTTTAACTAGTACATTCCCCAAACACTTGGATCATAAAATCCAGTACAATTTATGCCATTAGACTAAAGGTTTAAGAAAACATGCGGCCTTACGCCGGTCTACGTCACCACCCCCGAAAAGAGGGGGAGTGTTATAATGACTTGTTTTAACGAAAAGTCTGTACAATACGATGGTGCTGAACCGCTTCCTCAGTAACCCATGGCAAGGCAGGAGAGTATGCATACACTACGTACCCTCAGATGCCCGATCCCCTGGCTGCGTAGTTCATCCCATTCCAGTAAGTGGTTCCTGTACTTGTACGCCGGCCTCAAAGGGACGTTATTTTAGTATGGCGTTAGAGGCGACCCTATGGTGCTAGAGTGGCTTGCCTCCGCCTAGGCTGACTGCGCTATGTGCGCCAAACATATTTTGGCTGCCCGGTATTGGTGGCCTGTGTTTTTTAGTCTCCACATATGGCTTGGGGCTACCCTAGCTTCTTTCTACCAATGCAGGACACCAACTTCCGGTGGACACTTGTGCGGGCACTCAATTTATGCTATTAAAGGAGTCATGAAACGCTTTTCCAATTTTCTCCTGTTTAGCTTTATTCCTCAACTCATAAATCACGCATCCTACCAAACAGTTGAAAAAGACGGAAAAGGAAAGTGCCTTCTTGCTCGGACTCTCCTAGTGTAATCCGGACACAGCCATTCTCCCGTCGCTCAAAATTCAGACAAAAGCTGCTTTCCCACCCCGTTCACCCCGAAGCTGACAGTGCTGTGAAAGCTACGTGCTCCTTGGTCCAGCCACACTTTTGCCACGTGATCACCCTCTCTCGCGCATATCCACGTGTAGAGAATGATGTCAGGTGATGAAAGGGAGGCGGCTGATTGGTCCGGCAATAGCGTACCTTCTACCACAATGTCAGCTTAGGGGTGAAGGGAAGAGGGGCGCTCCGGTGTCGTGTGACGTTCGTTTGGACCCGATGACGCGCTGCGAGGGCTCGGTGACGCGCTGCGGGTTCAGCGGATGTATCACAGTGAAAAGGCAAAGAGCTTACGAAAGGAAGGAGGTACGAAATAGTGCGCTGTGTTTTCTCATTTTCGCACTGAACGTCAAGCTTCTGACTTTCTACCTTTTTTTTTTTGACCCACTGAACGATGTGCTATTAGTAAAATCCCAATATGAATTTATTTATTCAAGCCCAAAATTCGTTTCATGGACCCTTTAAACGCCCCAGACGTGCCAGCATGTCGTGATGCCTGTCCTTATTTTTCCCTCTTCTCCCGACATTTATTGGTGACTTGGCCATCTCCCCATCAGCCGCAGTCGAGAACCGTACTGTTGGTGCAGTGGTCACTATCCCCTCCATGTAGGTCTGCGGCCAGGTCACATGCGCCGCCTACGCCGCCCGCGTCGTGTGACGAACTGGGATATGTTCCTCTCTCTCCTCAACGCTTACTTGCATTCAAGTTTCCAGGGCACACCTGGAGACCCTCTTTCTCTTATCCGGGAGGTTGTCATTGGCGTAACTACGTGAGCTTGGGTGGATGAGTCAAGCCTGGCACGGGACCTACAGCTTATATTTTATGAAAGGAACGTAGCCATTCGGAGGCTGCTCTCTCCTACGACCCGCATTCCATAACGACCCTTTCCGAGCTCCACCTTCTCAGCGCGTTGGCTCGTGAACACTTGGTACTTTAAAAAAACATGCATTGGTACTTTAGAAAACATTACCTCCGCCCTTATAAAGACACATCGACACCCAACATTGCATCACTACTGATTTGTTATTGTATAACGGATGTCTCAACCCTATTGAAAATATTTCTAAAGGGCTCGTCAGCCTTGAAGGATTACGGGAGCTCACAGGCCTTAAAAACCCTTCAAAAATACCCTTCAGAAAAACCCTTTCAGGGATACCCGATAGAAAAATCCTTTAGACCCACAGCCCTTCGACCCGTATGACCCTTTAGCCCATCAACCCTCTAGACGCTCAAATGACTGTGAACTATAGACGAAAATGCAGTTCAAAACATTATTGAAAATTTTTGCAGGCATTTAGTTTTACAGGCATATTATTACTCAAAAAGGTGATAAAGAGCAACGCTTGTTCAAACCCGGCGCAAGGAGCTGTAGACGAAAGCGATCACATCAAACAGGGACAACTGACTTCTTTATCACAAAGAAAAAGATCAGTCAAAGTACTCACAATGCCGCTGAGTATATTCCTGATGTTCGGCAGTTCAGCTAATAAAACCGAGCAGGTGCAACTCACGGACACATACACAGTCTCAGTAAGCACGTTTAGCGAAAACCACGACCTCGCAAGCAGCATCCGCCGCTGTTGAGAAATCCCGAGCACAGTCACGGTTTCGTCCATGATGACGTCGCGCCGACGTCTTCGGCGTATTTTTCGCTCGCTGGATGCTTCTGAAGTCGAACGGACGAAGAGGCGCAAGGAACAAGTCCGGACAGCGGCCGTCATCCACAGTCTCAGGACCCACAGTGGCATAATCCCGGTGCGCAGGCACAACATGTGGTGGGACGCTGACCCCGACTGCCAGGCTTTGCAGCGAGTAAGTCGACACCGGCCACCATCTCCTTGAATGCGCCGAACACGATGGCGCTCGAGCGGTGCTAAAGGTGGCCAACGCCGAACTGGGGATCACCTGCGGAACTAAGGAAGATACTGCAGTGATCAAAACAGACCAAGGGGTGAGCCCTCAAGGCCATGCATGCTCACCTTTTTGGAGGAAATTGGTCCGCTCCGATAATCCGCGGCGGCTCTTGGGCTAACCGGAACCGCCCACGAGCAGAAAGAAAATGGCTATACTGGCGGCTGGCCTCCCTCGCTTGCACACACCACCCTCTCCTATCGCCGGGCGGAGAGAAACACAGTGTGGATTGCTTCTTGGGGGCCATCCCCCGTCGAGGAGCCGGTTCCCCGAACAAGCCGCTCCCGCGTGCATCCCTGTTCCTGGAAAGCGCGCCCTGCTTGGCCCTGCTCTCGGCTTTTTTTTTTTTTTTTTTATTCATGGTTGCACGGATTTTGCCTCGAACGGGCAAGTTTGCGTTCGCCTCAAAACGCCACTCGGCCATTACCACTCAGCCCGCGGCTCGTCAATTCTCCACATGGGGCGGTCGCTCTCGGTGGCCTCCTTGGCGACCGAACACCCGGGCAGTGACAGACGGGTCCAGGAGCCCACTCGTATTTGATAGAAGAGCAGTAATAAAATATGACCGTACACACATACGATTAACATTCTCCAAATACTTATTTTTGTTTTCCCGTAGCGTACAATAAGCAGCTATGTTCCAATTCTGCGATAAGTCAGGCCGCAAGCACAGCGACGCCGACTGCCCCTGGCGAAACAGCTTCCGACAGCAGCGAGGACGGTGACGACGAGTGCTCCCTAGAAGCACTGAACACCGACGACATGGCGCGTCGTCAACGAGACTTTCTTGAGCCGCGCGCATTAATCGATCACCAGGGGCCCTAATCTTTACACTTGGCGAGAAAGACGGCGAGAAATCTGGCGGCTATGATTGGCCGGCGTCAAGGTCAAGTGCGGCGTCGGCCAATCAGGGCCGCCAGATTTCTCGCCGACCTTTTCGCCAAGTGTCCAGCTTAGGGCCCCAGGAAGGGCGCGGGAGTACCGTGCCAGGTGTTTTCTAAAGAGCCTTGGCGACCTTTGCCATTCGACAACGTGTGCTCTATGAGGAGAACTTTAGGGACAATAACTCGCCGTGGCTGCTTGTAATCCCGACGGACCTTTGAGAGCATATTTCTCAAACATGTCACGACGACCGGACGTCCGGATACCCTGGTTACAGCTGGACACTGGCTCGCATTTCTGAAAAGTATTACTGACTCAAGCACCCCGAAACCGTCCGCCTCTATACCCGATCTTGCCACGAGTGCCAGCGACGCAACAAACAGCCTACGAATCCAGCGCTTCTCTTGCAGCCAATTCCTCCACCTACTGCACAGTTTCAGCAGATCCGAATGAATCTACTTGGTCCTTTTCCACCGTAGACCCTGAGAAACCGTTGAATAATCGTCTCAGTAGATTATCAAACGCGGTACACAGAAACGAAAGCCCTTCCTTCAGAGATTATTGTTGAAGTCGCCAAGTTTTTCATCGAGTCCATCGTCCTCCGTCACGGCGTTCCCAAATTTATAATTACAGATCGCGGATCATCGTTGATGGCACAGCTGACACAAGAAATCCTTCGGCTCATTCACACCATCCACCGTCGTACCACTGCGTACCACTAGCAGACCAGTGGGCTGATGGATCGATTCAACAAGATAATTGCCCGCATGATCTCTATGTAGGTCGGCGTGGAACACAAGGCCTGTGACGAGGTGTTGCCCTACGTCACGTTCGCTTGCAACACGGCAGTACAAGATAACCACTAAAATTACACCTTTCCAGCTGGTATATGGTCACAAGGTAACGACCATACTAGACGCGATGCTGCCTCCTGAGCCAGCTGATGATGAGAGCGACTGCGACCAGGGCCCGTTTTCTTGAAAGCGAACCGTGGGTTAAAGTTAACTATTGTCCCTAGAAGGGGGAATTTTAGGTCACGTGACTGGGAGAGCGGGGGCGCCGAGGGAGGAGGAGTACCTACAAGCAAAATGGACTCGACGTCACTTAATGAGGGCTAGTAGTT